GCAATGATTGTGAGGATGGCGCAGAACAAGGCAGTGTTTTGTGCTGCTGTTTATAGGGCCACTCTGAGCTGATAACAATTCGATGGCACCTACTAACAACACCAACATAATGCTGGCCTATGAGCCCATCAGGTTTGGGATGTCCTTAAAATACAGCTGGGGAAGAGCTGCCTCTTCAAAGTAGAGTTGACTGATGATGTGAAAGGAGTAAAGCTTTTTGGACCTTCATTTGCTGATGGGGCACAAGTGAAAATGAAGACAATCAGCTATTGTTGTTGTTAAATGTCATTGAGTTGGTTCTGACCCATAGCAACCCTATATAAGGTTTCTGAGGAGTGGCTGGTGAACTTGAACCTTGTGGTTCAAACTGACTTTGCAGTCCAATGCATCAACCTGAAGCTCCACACCAGAAACAGTTGTAAATATTCATTAATAGTAGGAACATGGAATGTATGAAGTATGAATCTATGAAAATTAGAAATCGTGAAAAATGAAAGAGAACACATAAACACTGATATCCTAGGCATTAATGAGCTGAAATAGAATGATGTTAGTCATTTTGAATCTGATATTCACATGGTTTACTATGCTGAAAATGACAAATTGAAAAGGAATAGTGTGGCATTCATAATCAAAAAGAATATTTCAAGATCTTTCTTGAAGTACAACGCTGTCTGTGCTAGTCTAATATGCATACACATACAAGGAAGACCAATTAATACAACTATTATTCAAATTTATCTACCAACCACTAAAGCCAATGATGATGAAATTGAAGCATTTTATCAATATCTTCAGTCTGAGATTGATCAAACATGCAGTCAAGATGTATTGATAATTACTGGTGATAGGAATGTAAAGGTTGGAAACAAAGATGAAGCATCAGTCACTGGAAAATATGGCCTTGGTGATAGAAATGATGTTGGAGATGATATGATAGAATTTTTCAAGATCAATGACTTCTTCATTGCAAATAACTTCTAAAACAACATGAAAGATGACTGTACACATGGACCTCACAAGATGGAATACACAGAAATCAAAATGACTACATCTGTGGAAAGAGATGGTGGAAAAGCTCCATATCACCAGTCAAATCAAGGCCAGATGCAGATTGTGGAACAGACCATCAATTGCTCATAGGTAAGTTCAGGCTGAAGCTGAAGAAAATTAAAACAAGTCCACAGGAGCCACAATATGACCTTGAACATATCCCACCTGAATTTAGAGATCATCACAAGGACATATTTGATACATTAGACACAATGACCAAACGCCAGAAGAGCTGTTGATGGCATCAAGAACATCATACAAGAAGAAAGCAAAAGGTCATTAAGAAAACAATAAAGACGGAAACGACCAAAATGGATGACAAAAGAAACTCTGAAACTTGTTCTGCAGCATGGAGATACTAAAGCAAATGGAAGAAATGGAGAGGTAAAAGAGCAGAATAGAAAATTTCAAAGAGCAGCTTTAGAAGACAAAGTCAAATATTATAATGAATTTTGCAACGACCTGGAGTTAGAAAACCAAAAGGGATGAACACGCTCAGCACTCTTCAAGCTTAACTGAAGAAAAAAATTCAAGCCTTGACTTTCAATATTTTATTGGCAAAATATTGAATGATGTAGAGAGCATCTAAAAATATGGAAGGGAATGCACAGAGTTGCTGTACCAAAAAGAAATAGTCAATGTTCAACTATTTCAAAAGGTAGCATATGATCAAGAGTCAAAGATACTGAAAGAAGAAGTCCAAGGTGCATTGAAGGCATTGGCAAATGACAATACACTGGGAATTGATGGAATACAAATTGAAATATTTTAACAATCTGATGTGGTACTAGAGGCACTCACTCATCTACGCCAAGAAATTTGGAAGACAGCTATCTGGCTAACTGACTGGAAGAGATCTGTATTTGTGCCCATTCCAAAGAGAGGTGACCCAATGGAATGTGGAAATCATCAGACAATATCATTTAATATTGCATGCAAGTAAAATTTTGCTAAAGATAATTTAAAAACTGCTGCAGCAGTACATTGACAGAGAACTACCAGAGCTTCAGGCCGGATTCAGATGGAAAGAGAGATATAATTGCTGATGTCTTAGCTGAAAGCAGAGAGTACTAGAAAGATGTTTACTTGTGCTTTATTGACTATGCAAATGCTTTCGATTGTGTGGATCATGACAATCTATGGACAACATTGTGGAGAATGAGTATACCGGAACATTTAATTGTGCTGATGAGGAACTTATACCTAGACCAAGAAGCAGTTGTTCAAACAGAACAAGGGAACATGGAATGATTTAAAGTTAGGAAAACTGTGTGTCAGGGTTGCATTCTTTCACCATACTTATTCAATGAGCACATAATCCGAGAAATTGGATTATATGAAGAAGAATGTGACATCAGGATTGGAAGAGTCATTAACAACCTGCAATCTGCAGATGATACAACCTTGCTTGCTGAAAACCAAGAGGATTTAAAATACTTACTGATGAATATCAAAGACTATGCATGGCCTTCGGTTTGGGCTGCATCTCAATATAAGAAAACAAATATCCTTATCACTGCATTTATAAACAACATCAAGATAAATGGAGAAAAGATTGAAGTTGTCAAAGACTTCATTTTGCTCAGAAGTCAAGAAATTAAACGACAGATTGTATTAGGTAAATCTGCTGCACGAGATCTGTTTAAAGTGTTGAAGATCAAAGTTGTCAATTTGAGAACTAAAGTGCACCTGGGCCAAGCCATGGTATTTTCAATAACCTCGTATGCAGGTGACAGTTGGACAATGAATAAGGAAGACTACAGAATAATTAATACATTTCAGTTATGATGTTGGAGGAGAACATTGAAGATACCGTGGACTGCCAAATGAACAAAGGAATCTTGTGTTGGAAGAAGTACAGCCAGAATGCTCCTTGAAGCCAGAATGGTGAGACTTCATCTCTCATACTTCAGACATATTATCAGAAGGGACCAGCCCCTGAAGAAGAACATCATGATGTTCTTGATACAATGGAGGGTCAGAATAAAAGAGGAAGACCCCCAATGAGATAGACTGGCCCAGTGACAGCAGCAGTGGTTTCAAGCGTAGCAAAGATTTAGAGGGGGTACAGGACTGGGCAGTGTTTTATTCTGTTGTGTATCGGGTCCCTATGAGCTAGCATCTGACAACAACATCCTCCTACAACTTTATAAAGTTGTACGAGGCCTAACCACTCTCACTACTCCCAGGAGACACACAGTGCTAGTTTCAATCCCTATGTTCTTCTTTCTAAAAGAAACCCTGGTGTGTTTAAACTAAACACAAGGCTGGTGGTTCAAGTCCACCGGCAGAGAAAGATGAAGTCATCTGTTCCCATAAAGGTTTACAGTCTCAGAAACCTAAATGAGCAGTTCTACTCTATTGTAGAAGGTCTCTGTGAGTTGGAATCAAGTCAATGGCTGTGGGTGGGTGTTCTTTCTGCCAAGATACCTTCCTGGGTACATGTCTCCCACCCAGGTAAGAAGGCCAACTTAGAATACATGGTGATCTGGGCCCCACCTCTGCTCCCTGTTCTAACCTCTGCTTCCATTTCACTTGCATCAGTGTAATAGCCTGTCATTTGTGTTGTTTGTACATCTTTTCAAACTTCCAGAACACTGCAACTATCGAAAATTGCTTTGTCCTTAGAAACCAGATAATAAAGAACTCGTTCACATTAGTTCAGAGAAAGGGCACGTTGGCAACTCATTGGTGGTTCTTTAACAACAAGGAGATTGGTTCTAATCTTGTGCTTACTGGACTTGCCAAATGGAAATTGAACTCCACAGGATGGTGGTGGGCTTTTTGTTCATCTGCCTAATGCATCTGTTATGCCCAGAAAAGAATGGCGGTGGTGAATTTTTAAATAGAAGGAACAAGGAAAAGAAACATAAAGCCAGAATTGAAAAAGGAAGACATTACAGAGCTTTTACAGGAAGTTCTTTCTCTTTAGAGTCCAAAAGGAAGTTAAGCTTCTTAAAATTAAAATTAATTACTGTCCTCTGTTATTGTCTCAGTTTAAGTAAAAGATGAATATGTTCTTATAAGGAGAAAATTTGTTTTTGATTTTATCATTTGACCAGAGACAGCTCTGGGGATAAGACAAGGGTCATAAAGGAAAAAAGATACTTTTGGTACAATGCTAGGGTTGGATTTAAGGAACTTTAAAAGACAGAAACTAGGATCATTTAGGAAAAAACAACAACAAAGACAGGTATTCTTGCTTGATTTTCCAAGTTACTGTCACAGTGGCAAATTCATAAGGAATTTGCCCTATTGGGTAACTGGTAGCTTGAGATAAAAGACTTTTCAGAAACGGAGTGCCAAGCCTTTCTTCAAAGGAAGCTCTTGATTTGTTGGTTGGTTATGTGCTGTAGAGTCAGCTCCAGCTCATAGCTGTATATGAATTTCCGAGACTGTATATCCTTACAGCCTCATCTTTCTCCCATGGAATAGCTGGTAGCTTTGAACTGCTGACCTTGAGGTTAGCAGCCCAACTCAGCCACTACGCTGCCAGAGCTTGTCAACTGTTAGATCAGTATTCACGTGCTTAACTATTCGCAACACCAAGGAATTCCTTGCACCTGATCTACTAGCTGTGAAACATTGCTCTAGTTGCATGACCTTCGTCTCCAGTTTTTAAAAATTCCATTTGCAAAATGAAGCAAATTTATCCGACAGAGGCACCATGCTCCTCCCACTGAGAACTAGGATGGCATAGATTCAAGTCTCTGAGTACTGGTGTGGCGATGTTGGATAAACATGGGACTGCTAACCACAAGTTTGGCACTTCAAAGCTACCAACCGCTCCTTCGAAATCCTATACAGGGTCACTATGAGTCAGAGTGACTTGACAACGTCCCCACAACATTTCCTTAGTACCATAGACCTGGAAAGATTTTTTTTCGTATACTTCTTATTTAACAACTTCTTGTTTTTTGTTCTCTCTCCTGTTTTCTGTATTTCAGCTTGGATTCCTTAGCACCACCACCGCTCAGCCAGAACAGAAGTCCCCAAATCTCATTGGCACATACCGCCATGTTGACCGTGCTACTGGCCAAGTGCTAACCTGTGACAAGTGTCCAGCAGGAACCCATGTGTCTGAGCACTGTACCAGCACAAGTCTGCGTGTCTGCAGCAGTTGCCCTGTGGGAACCTTTACCAGGCACGAGAATGGTATTGAGAAATGCCATGACTGTAGTCAGCCATGCCCTTGGCCAATGGTTGAGAAATTACCTTGTGCTGCTTTGACTGACCGAGAATGCACTTGCCCACCTGGTATGTTCCAGTCTAATGCTACCTGCGCCCCCCACACGGTGTGTCCTGTGGGTTGGGGTGTGCGAAAGAAAGGGACTGAGATGGAGGACGTGCGGTGTAAGCAGTGTGCTCGGGGTACCTTCTCTGATGTGCCTTCTAGTGTGATGAAATGCAGAGCATTTACAGACTGTCTGAGTCAGAACCTGGTGGTGATCAAGCCGGGGACCAAGGAGGCAGACAACGTCTGTGGCACACTCCCGTCCTTCTCAAGCACGACCCCACCTTCCCCTGGCACAGCCATCTTTTCACGCCCTGAGCAAAAGGAATCCCATGAAGCCCCTTCCTCTACTAATGTTCCCAAAGGTAACTTCACCTCATGAGTTAGTTGTTGGAGGAGAGCTTGAGCACTTTGCAAGTGTCAAGGATGTTTTCTTCATTTTATATAATCCAAAGTCATTTTAGAAGAAAGGGACTCCATTTTGTGGCCAATTAAATTTGGCCTCTTTGGACCTACTAGAGCTCATTTCAGAACGTTTTTATTAAGGGAGATCAAATATCTAAAGGAAAACACTAAGAGAAACAGGAGTGTATGGGACCTTGTGTAAGTCTCATAACCTCTTCAGGCCTCAGTTTCAAGCTGACCAAATAAATGAGTGACTTGGTTGTTTAATGGCTCAAATATTTACAGCATAGAGTCAATCCTGACTGGAAATAGCCAGAAGGAAAGAAGGAAAGGGAGAAGATATCATTAAACCAGGAAAGGAGGGACATGTCTTAGATCAAAGGTGGGGCAAAAAATAGGAAGAAAACTTAGAAGTTTCAGGAAACAAGCAAATTTGTATCAAATCATTTTGTCCAAGGATTTTAAGGTTATGCTTTTCTTCAAGCATCCCAGTTTTCCTAAGAATTCATTTTGAACTTCAGTCAGAATAGAGAAATTAATCTTTATTTTGTAAACCTTTTTGACTGAACTCAGTTTCCATGAAATGATAGTCAACTGGAGTTGTACTTCCTAGAGAATTCTCATGTGATCTTTATGATAACCTTGTAATGAGGGTCTTTTCACAACTTCCATTTTTGAAATAAATAAATTCAAAGATCTCAAATGACCTACCCACGTGTTTGCAGGGGCAGATACTGTCCAGAACTGCTGTCTCTCACTGAGACTCAAAACCCGCAGCATTCATATTTCTCTTAAAGTGTAAACTACTTTATTGAAGTCTGTTACGTTGCAGATGCTAAGAAAGTTCTGCTTTACTTCAACATTTGCCCTGTCCCACCAAACCTTAAATTGGAGCTCTTTTTCTTTATTTGGTTACATTCCCTGTTTTATCAGTTCATTGTGAAATAGAAATATAAATGAAGGAATTGAATTTTAAGTTTTTGTCTGAATAATCAGAATAAATAATCAGAATGTAAGAGTCAACTAGAGCTTTGTGTCTGCTCAGTATGTGAGATATAGGAGAAGCTGCCCTGAAAATCAGATGCTGGATCCCTGAAGATGTTCTCAGTTTTGGCACAAGAAAGCAAATTTAGCTATTCAGTTCAGTTTTGACCCTTCACATAAAAGTGTGATTAGGGTCCTTATGAAATACTGTTGTTGTTATGTGCCGTGGAGTCAGTTCCAACTCATAGTGACCCTGTACGGTTTCCGAGGCTGTAAATCTTTATGGGAGCAGAAAGCCTCATCTTTCTCCCATGGAGCAGCTGGTAGTTTCGAACTGCAGACCTTGTGGTTTGCAGCCCGATTCGTAACCACTACGCTACCAGAGCTCCTTTATGAAATATATGCAAAGTAAATTTATTCTTAAGATCCAAAGTTCATCTCTTAATTGATTATTTGACCTGACATGGAGATGACCAGGGAGTGGAGGGAATATCTAGACCCCCAAATACGGAAAAGTTTTCCCCCTCCTTACTCTTTTTCTAGGCATGAACTCAACAGAATCCAACTCTTCTGCCTCTGTTAGACCAAAGGTACCAAGTGGCATCGAGGAAGGGACAGTCCTTCACAACACAAGCTCAGCAAGCGGGGAGGAAGGCATGAACAAGACCCTCCCAAAAGTCCAGGTCATCAACCACCAGCAAGGCCCCCACCACAGACACATCCTGAAGCTGCTGCCATCATCCATGGAGGCCACCGGGGGCGAGAAGTCTAGCACACCCATCAAGGCCCCCAAGAGGAGCCATCCCAGACAGAACCTACATAAGCATTTTGACATCAATGAGCATTTGCCTTGGATGATTGTGCTTTTCCTGTTGCTGGTGCTTGTGGTGATAGTGGTGTGCAGTATCCGGAAAAGCTCGAGGACTCTGAAAAAGGGCCCCCGGCAGGATCCCAGTGCCATTGTGGAAAAGGCAGGGCTGAAGAAATCCACGACCCCAACTCAGAACCGGGAGAAGTGGGTATACTATTGCAATGGGCATGGTAAGCCTTCTGGATTTTCTCCTTGTTTACAGACCCCCCCATATCTTTCCTTCCCAGTTTCTGTTGTTTGGAGGAATGGGACATGCACAGTTTCTTGAACCTCTTTTGTAGACCAAGTGCTATCTGATCTAGTTGTGACAGAGAATGAGGTGGTTAGCACTAGACATAATGTGTTTAGAGAGGATGGCCCCGTTTCTCTCATTTTCCCTTGGCACCTCTAAAACAGGAAGGAAGGGGTTGCAAAAACAGCCCTGAAGGTGAGACTAGTTTGTTCAACGTTGTCATTTAATAAACGAGGAATTTGACTTCATGGAGGTTTGGTTGTATTGATCCTGGGCTACTTAGGTGTTTAGTACAGACAGGACTAGACTAAGGCATGTTGACTACTGGAACCCTTGTTTTTTCTACATTCCAACACCTATGTGGTACAGTGGTTAAGCACTTGGTTGCTAACCGAAAGTTGGTATTTCAAACCTAGCAGTCGCTCTGTGTGAGAAAAGCTTGGCATTCTACTCCCATGAAGATTTCAGCCTCAAAAAACCCCATGGGGCAAATCTACTTTGTGCTTTAGGGGTGCTGCAAGTCAGAACTGAGTCGACGGCACACAACAGACCACTAAGAAAATTGTTGCTGTTGTTCAGTGCTGTCGAATTGGTTCTGACTCCTAGTGACCCTATATAGGATTTCCGAGGAGTTACTGGTGGATTTGAACCACTGTCTTGCAGTTCAAGCTGACATTGCAATCTAGTGCTTATCTTACAGTGCTATACCAGTGGGTAAGAAGTAAGTTTGCTCTTTGAATCTGAACATTGTTTTAGATTTCTGTCACTGTAAATGTAAATGAAGAAGCCTTTCACTTAGAATTTTTCCACTTAAAATTTTAGGATTCCGTTTCTATCAGGAGGAAAGATGGGTCTTTTGGATTATGGATATTCAGTGCTTTTCCTGTATAGCACTGTAGGAAAAGCACTGAACTGCTAACCAAAGGGTTGGTGGTTCAAACTCACCAGCCGCTCCTCAGAAACCCTATACGGGGTCACTAGGAGTTGGAACCGACTCAACAGCACTTTAGCAACAGCAACAACAATGCTTTAATACGATAATGATTATTTGAGGCCGGGCCCTACATCTGTTACTGAATGATATGCCCATCTTTTGCTCTATCCTTTTTTGAGAGCACAAAATACCTTACTAAATTAGCCCCGGCAGCTGAGTTTGAACTGAAGTCTGCAATGTTCAGACTGGCAGCAATTTCCCTTTCTTTAAACCCTAAGTAAGATTGGAGATAAAAGTTCTGATAATCCCATTTAGGTACCTCCTTTCCCCTTAAAGTTACAAGTATATTCCTTCTAGCAATTCTATTTCTGTGAATCTATCTTAAGTATGTAGATCAGAAATACTCACACTAAAAAATGTAAGCATACAGAGTTTTAACTTTTAACTCAGCATTATGGATGATAATTTAATATTGGAAACAAGAAAAGGGCCAGTTTTAAGGAAATGACTAAGTGAATTATGGCATATTCATATAATGGAATTTGTGGCACTATAGGATCAGTATTGGATTGCTAAGCACAAAGTTGGTGGTTCAAGCCCACCAGCCACTCCTTGGAAACCCAAATGAGTCAGAACAAATTCCATGGTACTTAACAACAATGTTGAAGATTTTATGAAGTTTTGTTTTTCTTTCTTATGACATGGGGAATACTTGTACAGATTAAAGAAAAAGGCAAAACAAAACAGGCTGTAGAGTTCATAATGATTTCCCAATTCTCTGAAAACTTTAGAATAAAGGTTGAAATAGAATATAACAAAATGACAATGTTGCTGTTGTTAAGTGCTGACAAGTTGATTCTGACTCATAGCGACCCTGTATAGGGTTTCTGAAAAGTGGCTGGTGGGTTTGAACTGTTGACCTTGAAGTTAGCTGTCCAGTGCTTGTCCTACAGTGCCACATGAGAACAATAGTACTTTCCAATTAGTGGAATTTGGGGTGATTGAATGTGTATTTTTCCTTTATTGCTTTTCTGTACAATCTCCAGTTTGTTTGTTTTTTTTTAAAATAATAAGCACTTCTGCTTTTATACTCAGCGATCCCTAGTAGCACAGTGATTAAGCGTTTGGTGACTACCTGACATGTTAGGGTTCATACTCACTCAGAGGCACTGTGGGAAAGAGACGTGATGATGTTTTCATCAAGATTCAGCCAAAGAGAGCCTGCAGGACCAGAACAGGACACCTCTGTATTAATTAACTGGTGCGGGAAGTTTCCGTTTCTTTTTTTTCAAAACACAAAAACTTTATTTGGACATAATGCTCCCCCTTTCCCTCTCCGGTCTTCCCCCCATATTAATGACTCTTAGCAAAGGAACTCTGGTAGCGTAGTGGTTACGAATCGGGCTGCGAGCTGCAAGGTCAGCAGTTCGAAACTACCAGCTGTTCCGCGGGAGAAAGATGAGGCGTTCTGCTCCCGTAAAGATTTACAGCACATAACAACAACAACAGTAAAGTAGGAAGAATTGTTTTTGCTAAGTACTGGTGAGTCGGTTCCGACTCATAGTGACCCTGCACAGAGTTTCCGAGGCTGCAAATCTGTACGGGAGCAGAAAGCCTCGTCTTTCTCTCATGGAACAGCCGGTACTTTTGAACTGCCAACGTTGAGGTTCGTAGCCTGATTTGTAACCTCTATGCAACAACAACAACAACAATGCTATCAGAGCTCCTTAAAGTAGCAATAGTTAAAAGAATATCTGTATAGTTGTGCCCACATTGACCTATTGTTGATATTTTGTCCTTTTGCTTTATCCTTTTTTTAAAACATACATGCAATTCTATATTACTAAATACATACAATATGTATCAGTTAATTATATATAATGCTATATAATGTGCATTATATCATATGCTGTATATATACATACATACAATATTTTTCTGAACCATTTCATGGTCTTTTCTAATAATAACAATATTCTCTTAAAAAGCCGTGGTACATATTTTAGCCTCAGTAAATGTAACATTGATATTGTTAGTTATCATTGAGTTGGCTCTGACTCATGACCTACCTTACACATAACAAAAGGAAACGGCTTGGCCCTGCACCTTGATATGGATTATGTAAGTATTTTGTTATTCACTTTATTAAAGAAGAAGGAGCCTTGGTTGCATAGCAGGTAAAGTGTTGAGCTAACCTCAAGGTCAGCAGTTTGAACCCAGCAGCTACCCTGCCGGAGGCTGTCTGCTCCAGTAAAGGTTTACAGTGGTGGGAATCCTGGGAGCAGTCCTACTCTGTTCTATAGAGACACTGTGAGTTTGAATCGATTCACTGGCAGTGGATTTGGTTTCATTTTTATTAAAGAAAAGACTCTATTCCTTTAGTATTTACATTTATGGACTGGACAATCGTCAGCTGTAGCTGTAAACTGTCTTTTGCAGTCTAGTTTTCATAATTCTTGAGAACATAAAGTTATAGAAGTAAAAGCAGGTCCAGTAGCAGAAAAGAATTTAATACAATGACCTTAGACATTCTTATGACCATGGTAAACTTGGAAATTACTATGCCTATGTTTTTTTTTTTAAATGTTTTATTGTGAATTCTGTGATAGCTTACTTGGGAGATTAGTTTTACATTCATCCTATTGTATATCGTTTCTTTGCCATGATTACAATCCCCTCCATGCGTCATCAAACAGCCAAAGGGTACACCCTGCAAGCCTGCCCCCTGGTTGTCAGTACACAGCCCCTCTTCCTCTCTGGGTCTAGAGTCCCCAGCCGCTCCATCTCTCCATGTCATCATCTTTGCCTCCATCTCTGTATGCCTATGTTTTTAAGACAATATCCAGTTTCCTAAAAAGAATAGATGTGACAAATCCAAGAAAGCCCAATCATGCTTTCTGTGATAGTAGAACCTGAGCAGTATGCTTTTCAAAGTAAGTCACAATAGTCTTAGTCAGGTGTAACTAACTGCCTCTTCCAACTGTCTGACTCCACACTCCAGCCCCCACCTCCTTAGTCAAATTCCCCCACCCTGCACCCGACAACAACAACAACAACAACCTCTCACACTAGGTTTTGCTTTTGGTATGTTTCTATCTGGTGTTGGAGGAGAATACTAAAAGTGCCATGGGCTGCCAAAAGAACCCCAATAGATCTGTTTTGGAAGAAGTGCAGCCAGAGTGCTCCTTGGAGGCCAGGATGACCAAACTTTGTCTCTCATAGTTCGGACATATTGTCAGGAGGGAGCAGTCGCTGGAGAAGGATATCATGCTTGGTAAGATGGAGGGTTGGAGAAATAGAGGAAGACCCCAATGAGATGGATTGGCCAGGTGGCAGCATCGATGGACTCAAGTGTGGTAACAGTAGTGAGGTTGGCCCAGGATTGGACATTGTTTCATTCTGCTCTGCATAGGGTCGCTATGAGTCGGTGCTGACTCGATGGCACCTAACAACAACAACATATTTAAGGCAGTTTTCTAAAGAAGGTTTTCTTTTCCTTCCTCAATTGCTAGTCTCAAAGGTACATCCAGGTAAAATCCTTTACAAAGAAAGACTCTGTTTAATCAAAGCCATTCCAGGTGCTTAGAGACTTCCGGCAACAATGCCTTGTAGATTGATTGATGTTGGGCAGCCGATAATCTTGTGTAAAATCCCTCTCTAGTCCTTGTCTGTTGCTCACTGAATTGTCATGAGGATTAGGGCTGAGATGAATTGATTAGCTCTAGTCTAGTTCTCCATGAAGAGGGCCATGTTAGACCTCACTCAGCTCTACCTGTGTTAAGCAGAACATGCCATGCCCTTGAATGTCATATATACTCCCAGTACTGAAAAGGCAGACCATTGGTTCTTGTCTTTCTCTTCCACAAGAAGCGCTTTAATTATGCTGCTCCACTCACCTCTTTACCTAGCATGATTTCCATTCCACAAAGCAACAACCCTACTCTAATGGAATCCTAGGGTTGGAAACACCAGATGAAACCTTATTCGGTAATGGGCATGAGAGA